GGTTCGAATCCCGTACATCATCAGATCGTGCATCATACCTATCTAATACCGCAGTTCAAAATATATGAACTTCATATAACCAAAGATCCCAAGTCATTAACAAAACATGAAGCATCAATAGAAGTTGGCAATCTATCGGAAGTTGGCTTTTTCAGCAATAAACTTGGAGCACGAAATAATTTACCCTGGTCGTGACTATTTTCAGCAATGAAATCCGTGTAGAAATCAGCTCGTGCTTTATCCATTAATGCAGTTGTTAAGTTCCTTTTCTTTTTAAAGTTAGCTAGGTCTACTGCAGACTTAGTCCTTCTCCATTTTTTCTCTGCTCTTTGTCTTTCATGCTTTGAAACCCTGATTTCTTCAGTAAACCATGGAACGCGTGGTCTTTCTACTATTGTTCTCGTTACAAGCGGTGCGTGTTTGTCCAGAATCCCTTTTAAGGTGGTATCGTAGCAGATCACAAGATCATCAAGATTATCGGGTGGATTTTTGCGTAAATCAGAATCAGCTATAGCCGATCGGAACACATTCATCTCAATAGATTTAAACTTCCTATGTGATATTGTCCTAACTGCCATTAATGGTCTGTTGGAGTCGATATTAAAGTGAACAGCACCGTGATCAGATAGAAAGCGATCAATACGAGGTATACCAGAAATAATATCGTCCGATTTACGTGAGATAACTAAGTCCAGGATGTGACCATGGATGTGAGTTGGTTGGTTTACATGTTGCTTTAATCCAACAGATTCTAACAGATCAGCGAATTTCAAGGCATCGTTATCATCAGCAACGTCTATGTGTATATTAAAATCACCTAGTAGTAACAACTCTTCGTATGATAGTAGTTTTGTTTGAATATAATCCGTGAAGTCCTTAATAAATGAAGCTGTAGTGATCTTATGATGATCAGAATACGGTGGTGCGTATACGACAATGACGCGGAGATGGTGGTATTGTAATTTTTTATTTATTTAACTTCGCCGACCGGCAGGGACACCGCAAAAACTTGCGCCAATTACTGCGGGTCCAGTAAACCCACCCATCCCACCCCAGGGGTAATCTCGTGCGGGAAATTAACGTCTCTTGTTCCCAACCCTACAGGAGACGGGACCTCCATTTATTCGTCCCTATCCGAGAAGACTAGACCATCTAACCATTTCTTGATGTTATAGAAAGGTAGCAAACTCTTCTCAATTTTTTTAAGACCCTGACTGTTGGTCCGGCCGGGGCTCGAACCCTCGACCTCCCGCACAACAGTCCAGCGCTCTATCCATTGAGCTAATCGGGAGGCGGTTAATCTTACTGAGTATTCAGAGAACTCAAATGAATTTCGTTCCCCTCCGTCAAGTTTTTTGACTTGAAATAGTGAGTCCCGGTATAAAAGGGTGGTACCACCTCCCCTTCGTGGGCCAGTGCGAGGATGATCCATCAATTTATAATCGGTAGGACACACTTCATTTCTGACTACATCATCATTTAAGTAGAGCCAGGTTTCGGTCATGGCACATGAATCGGTTTGCTATCCACAATGTAATCGTAAATGTCCGATGACTTATTGCGAAGAGAACGAGCATTTAGTAAGGATGCAGATATTAACTTTCGATTTTGTTCATTTGAAGTCGCAGTATTTTCAGGGTCGGGATTAACCTCGATATCACCATGCTGTAAAATTATTCTGTTTTTTGCAACAGAATTTGCATAATATTGGATAGGTCGCTTTGATCTTTTTTGTTTTAAACAGCACAAATTCCTGATCAGGTCCCGAGAGAATGGAGCTTCGTCAAGTTGTTCCAGTGAATCTGCTGTAGATTTAGATGAAAAATAGCATATTCCGTAACCAATACGCTCTATCTGGCTTCCAAAACAGTGCCCAAATGTTCCAACAGACATTATCTTGTCATACTCGCTATCCAGATCAAAGAATTATTGATAGAACAGCGCAAAGAAGATCAAAATTAGACATCGCCCAAAAACGTGGCCAACCATTGTTAACAGCGTAAAGAAGGTGTTAAAAATGGTTGGCCAATTCAATCAACTTAGAAAAGAAAACCATTATTTGGACGCTAGCGTTCAAAATTGGTTAATATCACAAGAGAAATATCACGAGATATTGCCCAGTTTAAGCTGGGTCCTATTCAGTCACCTGAGTTATGAAATCGTTCGCGAGCGAAATATTTGACGAAACATATAACGTGTTATCTATATTTAGGGGCGACCGTTCTAACAAAGGACACATCTTAGGGGCTCCTAAGGGTATTACAGTCGCTGAAAGAGATCTTACTCCTGCTATGGTAAGCCTCATGAGGATCATTCTCCACTCTGCCATGATGGCCGGGGCCCAGGAAAATCCTGAGGTAAGCTATAGCATTGATTTATTATTCCGAGTTCTTCTTAGTCGTTGAGAGAAAGAGAGGGTAATAGACAACCTTTTCTTTTGGAAGGAGTTCACTTGATACAACACTACATTCTCGTTGCTAATTTAATCGAAAGATATGGAAGTTCCAATCAGATCTTAGGCGGTAAGGGTTAGCATCACCTACATCTCGCTTCAAGGTATCTCTTATTGAACAGAACACTTTAAGACTTGAGTTATGCAGCATTATCGAGCAAAAGTAAAGCTAAAAGGGCTCGAACGCACTGGGCTGACAAAGCTTTGTTTGGCTGCACCAAAAGTTTCGACAAAATTCTAAATTTGTCAATCGTGGGCACACTCAAAAAAAGCAAAATATTTGTTCACCATAAAGTGTGAAGCACTTGTCTCACGGAACTAATGACAGATTTTTTTTCGCAAAATAAACAAAAATTTCACCATTGCACCGGGGCCCTGTGTGTTTCATTTGAAATTGTTGACAATGTGCTTACCATTAAGCTCTCACATAAGATTTATCTGCATCTTCCTCAAGGCCATTTGTCAGCTTATACGTTGGCCAGATGACCAGCCAGGTGATGTCATAGGCTTCCTCTGGGCACATCTTGCTAATGATATAGACAACATATCGGCCAGCCTGGAGAGGAGCGTGGATGAGGTGTTGCTAATGATTCATCGCGTTTTAGCAGAAATTGTGGACCGTGCAACAGCGAGTAAGTCAATATGTATCTAGTTACTTCAAATAGGTAGAGGCGCGGTGGCCTCATGGTTAGTGCGCTCGACTCCGGATCGAGTGAGCCTGGTACGAGCCCTGGCCAGGGACATTGTGTTGTGTCCTTTGGTAAGACACTTTACTCTCGCAGTGCTTCTCTTCACCCAGGAGAATTAAATGAGTACCGGCGAATAGAACAAAGGACGATCAAATGAAGAGACTGAATACTTCATACAGGCTATTTTTCCGATTGTAAACCTTGTGAACTAGTTTTTGACACTAATTATTGTGTCCAAGTTTCTTCCGTACCTCGAACAATTCTTAAATGGGTGGAGAACGATAGACGACCAATGCAATGTTCGCGTTGAAATGTTCTAGAACACCGGATTGTTTTGTGTCTTTTGGATCTCTCCGAAAATTGGTTATGATTTTGAAAACTCAGACTTCTAACTTGCCTCCTCAGTGAACAGACCTCTCTGCCCTTTCGGCGACCATTTGTGAAAGGTTCAGGTTTTACTTTCTAAGCACCCAATGACAGTTCCTGATCCTAAATTACGAAATGTCAGGAAAATTATTCAATTATAGCGATAGCGTTTCTAGTTAAGGATCCACAAGTTAAGTTACAAGGTATTCATTTATCTATCAACCTTACTGTTTGATATTAACTGTTAAGGAGGAACAGTTTTTATGGGAAAGTGGTCGACCAAAGCAGAAAGAAGAGAATGGGAGAACCAGTTTTCAGACGTATTTGCAAGACCAGTAGTAATGGTAAGAGGCCTTTGTTACTCCTAAGCTCTTTAAGCACTTAGTTTATTACATATTTACTAGCTTTGGATTACTTCTTTCTTTCTCTTCTTTTATTTTATTACCAGTAACATTGGCTGGCGTTGATGAAAACATTTGGAAAAAACCCTTTTTTATTGTATTCAACCTTACATCTTCATATTTTCACAGCAGTTCATCCACTGTTGTCCAGAAGAAGCGTTTTCAATTATAATAATGCACAATTTGAGAATTAATTGCAAATGAGGGGAACAATAATGAATTAAAGATTTTCTGTGTTTTATCCATTCTTAGAGCATCACAACGTTGTATCGGCATATTGTTTGATTACTTATATGTGAATTATTGACATCACTTTTCAATTTTTCAGAATCTGGAGGAACTTTTAAAGAATTTCTATGTTTTGTCTATCAACGACAGGAGATTGGGTAATGACTATTCTCTCGTCAGAAGCCTCGTTCATTTGGAATTTCTTGATATGTTCTCCATGTAGACAGAAATTTAAGTCAACACACGCATACACACTCATGATGTTTTATCGAAGTGCGTTATTGGGTATTGCTACAGATGTAGTGAGGATTATTTCACTGTGTAAAATGCTCGAATTGTTAAAACCTTCCATCCTCGCCCAGCCATTGCTCAGTAGACCTTCTTATTTACAAAATGGTTTGCTCTTAAAGTATGTTCTCCATTTGGATGAGGAAAAGTTGGTTTTTGACAATATTGTTATGACAGACCAACTCCAACGCCTTCAAATCTCCCGTACATAGAAGCCCTCTAATCTGAAACAATTTGTTTTGCATTATGGCAGTATATTTTAAATAAATAGCTTTCGTTTAATAGTACTACTTCATCATTACAGGGAGTGATCCCCTAATGCGAGAGATTTACGAAGTGGATGAGCTCTCACCTCCTCGCTCGGCAGCGGAAATCCATCCTGGTCACGCGACCTTTTGGAAATATAGAACACGTTTGACTGTTGAGCACGTGATTCGTCAGTTTCAAGACATCAAGTCAAACATGGCCTCTTGTAAAGTCCTAAAAAAGTTTTTGGTGGAGGTAATAATTAGAATTAAAGCAAACTGTTTAGGAAGGAGCAAACATTTGATGTTTACGAATTGTTTGAATTTATCGGATATGCTAATGGAAGGTACTTTTTTGTTGTCGTAGGAACACAGACTTCGAGCAGTTTGTCACCTGCCCAACATTCTGGGTTTGTTGAGAATATTGACTGACCGCTTTCATCGACGAATCGACAGAGAAAATGCTAAAAAGCTCAAGATTCGGGAATTTTTGCAAAAATTACCAAAAGGTAAAGCATATAGTAGACTTAGTTGTACAATTTGGTTGTATGTGTGAAGACTTACACTGCAAAAGCAACCAATAAACATGCACCACGTATGGCATGCAATGCATAAAATCCCAAGAAAACTGGAGAATGATTTTCAAGAAGTCGTCTGCATATTTTCAAATGACAGAAAAAAAGCTCTTCGTTCTGACTCAGATGATGTCTTCCAACCATTAATCGAAGCATCAATCGCACTTCCAGCCGTTAGTAGTCAGGTATGACTACTCTCAGGTCACCTCGCGTACTGTGAAAGCGAATGATTTCCTAGGCTTACAGTCTTCATCTTGGCGTGTGAGTGACGAGTTACAGTTCTCTATCTATTATTTGTGTAGCTAATCTTTGCCAAGTCCAACATTTCCAGAGGAACAAAATCATGTGCCACATTTAAAAAGGCCGCAAAATAGCAACGATGTTCTGACCATGACGCAAAAATCGAAGCTTATACTCTCCGAAATTAAACATTTAAAAATTTTTGGACTGAACCTAAAACGGACACAACACTCACGTAGCGATTGGGAGGATGAATGATAAAAATGCACTATGCACCATCTCCCTCCTTTCCATCTTCCTAGCTTCAGTAAGTGACCAAAGACAAGTGGTGCTTCAAATACGAAAACGTTTTTCTTTTTCGCTTTTTTAACACTGAAATTCCATATTGGGTAGCTTTACTTACAGTGTAAGTGGTAGCTCAGATTGAACCAACATTTTATTTAATTTTTTTATTTAGACCAGAGGGATAACTTCACAAAGTTATTCCAAAGTTTTTGCACTGCTTGGGATCAGGTTCGCCATCACCTGCGTTCACAAGGTGAGAAAGTGTAAACCAAGAGGCTTAAAAAGGCAATTTGAGGGAGAGAAACAGTGGAGTTTTTTTCTTAACGGACATCCATCAGTTTAAATCTGTCAGAGGTAACAAAAGGATAGCTAGAACAGGGACAGAAGAATATTTGGTCGATAGATTCATTTACAACTGCTAACTAATCTTTGCACGATTTTGATATATTTTTCTCCAACAGGTCGTTTTACTCCTTCTCAAGAACAGTGCTCCAAGCCAATCGAAATGACCTCCACCGTTTCAGTATTATTACCAACAGAGGTTGGCCCAGGTGTTTGTTGTAAAGCTTTGCTGTTCTTTTTGGTCAATGCACATAATGATATGGTACAAGCATACCACGGTACTGTTGGCTCTGACGAAAGCACACGGTTTGTTGAATATGTTTATTTACACGTCACGTTTGAGTAATCGGAATCATAATTCACTGGAGGTTAATGAGGTCATTACTACATCTCGATTAGTTATGAACAAGTGAATAAAGGGGGTAAGTTTTTAAAGAGACCGTGATGCTGCGTCGGAAGGGATAACAAAGTAATTTGGTTGTATCAGCTAAGTTGAAATTGTAAATTGGTCACCGCAAAGAGTTAGAAAGCTGACGTTTCGGGCGTTAGCCCTTCGTCAAAGCGAATGGAGGAGAAAACTAGAAAAGATTCAAGAAAGGGCGTTACGCGCAGTATTCAACGACAGAAAAGCTAATTATGAAGAATTATGGAGAAGGGGCGTCTACCTAGTTTAGAAAATAGGCGTCTTCAAGACAATTTGATACTAATGTAGAAGGTCCAAAACTCCTTGGCACCTGAGCCCATTTGTGAAATTTTCTATAAGCAAGATAAACACTATAATCTAAGGTGTGGAGAATTCCCCATTCCTAGATTCAGGACGGTGAAGTATGGGAAACATAGTGTTAAATATCTAGGCGCCTATTTATGGGGGAAAATAAGTCAAGATATTCGAAGAAAAAATAGTCTTCAAGCCTTCAAGAAAGCCATCAGGAGAATTAATATTACGAACCTTTTAGATGGATCATGCAAATGCAATGCCTGTATTGCATAATAGCTTCTTCTAAACTAAATTTTTATATGCGTGTGATTGATACATCTTGCTGTGTATGACTGTCTGTTTATCTCCGTTTTTATATTTTATTGTAGATATTTATATGAATATCACTTAAAAGTATTGTAGATAGGAAATTCTTTTTGTGTCTCCAATTAGCTTGGTAGCTAAATCTCTTGACACATTAATAAAGTACTCACTTCACTTCACAATTACTCCATTAGTTCTGACGAAGGGCTAACGCACGGAACGTCAGCTTTTTAACCCTTTGTGGTGGCCAATTTACAATCCCCACCTACGCACCACTACAGTTTCTTTGAAAACGTACCCCCTTTATTCATTTTACGTATTTGCTTACCTTTGCCATCTCGTATCCCACCTGTTGTGTATTTCGACTTACTCTTGAATTATTTTTTGATCTGAATAATAGTTCCACTGCTAAGATTCCTCTTTCGGAAGTTTCGGTGTCGCAGTTGGTAGCATATGACTTCGAAAGGGACTTGCTACCTGTGATGCTAGCCAACTGCTCCTACTCACTGGAGATGGGGAAGGAAACATCAATGCAGTACAACTGGGAAGCCCTTCAGAAGCAGATAGTTGATAGGTTCGTACGGGGAAGGCCTACAGTGGAATTTAAGGTAACTATTTCCTCTCTTCCGTGGTAAGAGCGATTTACCGTCCAAGAGACAAAATCATAGCCTACTGGAAGGTTTACTCAAATTTGCCCAAAATAAAAAGTAGATATGTTAAACTAAAAGAACTTTCAAAATTCGTAAGTGTAAGTTTGGTATTTTAATCCTCTCTGGCTTTTTAGAGTCATTGGTATTTTTCTTAGTCGCTTTTATTGTTCAATCAGTTTGGTTGAGGGTTCTTTATGGATTTCGCTAGTTTTCGTGACATAGATCTTATATCGCGCGTATAAAAGATTAGAGGAATTTTACACTTTAGAGACCAGGGCCAAGGTGTCCAGTGGGCGGATAACGCTATTCCAAGGATATATCACTATCCAGCAGATAAGTGTGAACAAAAAATACCATCATTAGGTAAATTCAGACAATACTTGCTACTCTTTTTTAGCTGGATGATTTCGTGTTTCGTGAAGATGACCGCGGTGTGTCCTTCGACAACTTGAGGGACAAAATTCCACAGGTTAGAGCTGTGATATTCACCATTTTTGGTGCCCTCTCTCTTCAAGAAAGGTGACTTAATTTGTCAAAGATATTGGGTAGAAATCACCAGAAATTACAACTAGAGGGTAGAGGTAGCCGTAGTGACTACCATTACACTGGCCAGATTCAAATGCTAGCTCTGAACAAACGATTGGAGAAAACTTACTTATCTTCAGGTTAACCATGAAAATAACATGTAAGAGTCAAAAAAAGGTAAATAGTAATCAGCCCAAAGACCATAAAGAGCGCCATAGAGCAGTTAAAAACACGATCAATGATCTCAAATCTAGCTGCGATTGGACGGAAAATCTGAAAACTGATTCTGCAAATTTGAAGTTCCGTTTCGATAAACCGAAATATGTTTCTTCCATCCTTTTCTTCAGTGCACAGACAAAACTCTCGTCTTCTTATTTTAAGGAGCCAATTGATAGTCAAACCCGCACCCAGATTCTCTCGGATTTGAAGGACGTCAGGGACGTGAGTGATTTGCTCTCAACGCTGGAAATGGCGGTTGGTTTCTTGTCCAAGGCAGGTGGAAATCCAGAAACAAAAATCTGTGATTACCTCAAGCATGTTCTTCGTCTCAGTGATGGAAAGTCGAACTTAAAGAGTAAGAAGGTGGGTAATATTTCTTAATATGAGAGTGATAAAATACAGTCTTGATATCTTGAATCCGTAGATCGACAACCTGATGTTTTTTTGAAAAACTGATCCGTATCTTCTTGATCAAACGCCGGACTTCAGTTAAATGCCAGCTTCATATGAACACTGGCTCAAGCACCGGGCTCACCAACCTTTTGTCTGGAATGCTACATGAACATCCATTACCATGATTATACTCAGCCTGGTACCACGTTTACAGAATTTAAGTCAGTTATTCTTAATACTTCATCGTGCCCTCAAATGGATGGTTGGGGAATTAACGAAGTCCTCTGCGAATCTGGACGGGATAACGCTTAAAACTTTGGTAACAGTAGAGGAACTAGTGATTTATACTCCATGGATGTCTAACTTTTCCTGGCAGGAAACTTTACATGAACATTATTATCTTTCAGGCGCAACAGTCTTGCTGTCTGGGTCACATCATGGATCTGTGGTCCACACTCGCCGTTGTGCGTGTGAAATCTCTACTTAGGAATGGACAGGTACGTTTTTATTGAATAACTGAATCGAATCCCATGGGTATTATCCTTTTCTCGCATTGAATTTCCACATCATCATCCCAAAGACAACTCTTCAGGGGGATGCTAAGGTTGCCTCTCCTCTTAAAGGTTTAAGCATACTTCCCTGAGATGGCCACTGTTTTGTCACGGTGGACACATTATGAGGCTACTCTTACTTTAACCCCATCACAAGGCTCACCCTACCATGAAAGTAACTCTAACAAGGACCACTTAATCACAAACTTATGAACAGTACAGCATAGTGGGTGGTAGCGTACTTAGACAGACGGCTCTTGCCAGCTGTACATCCGGCTAAGGCAAAGATAGTTTGTCTTTAAACGAAGCGAATGACTTCTCGCAATCATTTTCTGGTTTCTACCGATGGAACTTCTCTCTTACAAGAAGTTTTTTTTCTATTAATTCTTAACCCTTCAAAATTGAAGCAGTAACTTTACACCGTTCTACCTTCCAAGAATAACCTGAGTGGCTGGCAGTTTTGTATGCGATTCAACGTTTTATGTGCACTGAATGATGAACGACAAAGTGAAAGTGAAAGTGAAAGTGAAAGTGAATGATTCGATACCTTAATAGCAGCATAGGCTGAATTGCTAAGGTGTACAGTGTTACTAAGGTTGAGATCGGACGTCAGCATTATCAGGCGCCTCTGGCAGCCGCTTTAGTCCATGTAACGACCTCACCTTTTTCCCCCACACATCCCACCCCAGGGGAGGACATCCATCACACAGTAATCTCGTGTGTGGGAAATTAACGTCTCCTACCCCTAACCCTGCAGGAGACGGGACCTCCATTTATTCGTCCTTATCCGAGAAGACTAGAATATCTAACCATTTCACTGATGTTATAGAAAGGTAGCAAATTCTCCTCAGTTATTTTAAGACCATGAGTATTGGTCCGGCCGGGGCTCGAACCCTCGACCTCCCGCACAACACAATCCGGCGCTCTAACCAATTGAGCTAACCAGGAGGCGGTACAAAGCCAACCATGTTCATCCCCGGCAAGCCTCTTATGCCATCGAAACCCATCGCCATAAGATCCTATAGCATACACAGAGCCGCGAGCTAACTTGGCCATCCTTTAATGGCCGCCTGTACACAACAGCCAATCCCCTCCGTTCTCAAGGTGGCCTTTGTGGTCACAGGTTCGACCTTGAATTTATTTGTCTGTTCCATTTAAACTAATTTTATTTTTTTAATTCCTTTAGGATCCATTTGAGAAGGTGTCCGAAATTTTTAAACAAGGAATGCCGCGACCTACAATCACGCGTTTCAGTGCAGCATTAAAAAAAATTAACGTTGACTTGTTTTTGAGTAGAGTCATCGAAGTCATCAGTTTGATGCATGCTCACGATGAAGACGCAATCAGTGAAATGAGGTAATTCTTTCTTGCAACATAGATGACCCGACAAAGCAAAGTTAAAAGTGCTTTTAACCAAAAACCTACAAGGAAGTATAAGCGATGTATTCCCCACGACAAATAACCGCAACCCTTTTACTCAATTTTGTTCTCAAAGAATGCTCCACTGCGTCTTTCTTTTTCAGACTCAGTGAGTACTTATCAATGCGTTTTGATGACAGCACCGACCTGGACGAGATCCGACCTGGAGACTCCGAGACTCCGACCCGGATTCCCGATGAAGTCTATGTAAAGTACGTGATTCATGCGTTCGAGCTTGCGGTAGAAGTGCGAGACAGAGACCAAGGACGCAGGAGGTCCATAATGTCCTAGGACTTAATTTTCAGAATTTTCAGATTTACGTTTTTATGCTTCATTGTTATTTCAAGGACTTTCCCATCATTTATAATCTTAGCTATTGATGTATTGTTCATTTAACAATATGCATGAACTCAAAATGAGACTGAAATGAGGAAATTCCAGGTTAGAATAGACGAATATAAACTGACATATTACTGCGGAAACTTAATTTTTACAATAACAGTTTTTCAATTATTGGCAATAAAGGGTAACATGTCGTTATGAAATCTGCTTCATTCCTTTCCTCCTACGGCTCTACAGCGATCTGAGGCACTTTGATACAGATCCTACGACTCGATTGCATAGCTGGCACTTGTAAAATTCAACATCGGACTGATAAGGAATTCATGGGTAATTATTATCTAATGAACATAATCATTCTCCAATCCCTTCTTAAAGATAATAATATAATATAATAATAAAGTCTTTATTCCATCATAAGAGAAAACTACATATCTTATGTTACAATGAATTCGGAAAAACTACGACAGAAACCTACACACATATTATGAATTAAAAAGTATGTCGTCACAATCAATGGAGCTTAAATATCAACCTATTTTCAAAGGTGTTCATAAAGTGCTGTGTATTAATTTTCGGGCGTGCACAGCCTTTTTTCCTAAGATTATGTACATATGTCTTCTGGACAGGAATGATGTCTTTCAGGGGGTGGCAATCCGTTGATTTTAGTTTCTTCAAAATGTTTCGGTCTTGTTTGTTTGAAAGGTTCTTGATAAAAACTGGAAATGAGATGAAACGGCGTTTATGACATCTGTCTAAAAAATTTTGTGTAACCGTAAGATCGGACTCAGATGCCCCATAGACTGAAAGTGCATAGCTAAAATTAGGCAAAATAATGGATATAAAAAGATGATCAATCTCTGCCTGAGAGTAATGTTCCTTTCTCAATGTTCGTAGGACGTGTAAACACTTGTTTGCTTTAACAAGCTTAATTCTTACATGCTCATCAAATTTTCCGTCACTCTGTAAAGTTACTCCTAGTAAAACGAAGCTATTACATTGGGGAATATTATTAATTGGAGAGTAGAGTACAGTATGATTTTTCTTTCTAACAACCATCTCTTTACATTTGCAAGGGTTGCAGACCATTCTATTGTCTTTACACCATTCTATTGTCTTTACACCATCCTACTAAGTCGGCAGATGGGTCACTATTCCTAGTGATAGGCGAAAGATGTGTTCGGCAATGATCTAGCTTACAAAGTTTTTTCCCGGATCCTGTCCTGCCGCTGAAGGAAATAGTCGACGCTTTATTAGGCTGTATATTCGTTATGTTGGCTGTAATCCAGTTACAGCATTCAGTAAAATGACCATAAATTTTAAACTTAAAATAGCCATCTACAAGAATAGCACCTCCAAAGGTACTTTTAATAAGCAGGGTGCTTATCACAGGTGCATATGAAATTATAGCTGTGACTAAATGCCCAGCAACCGGGTACGGTCTCAAATAAACTAAAATGCCCGGCAGCCACATTTTCAAAGAATTTCCAGTTAGAGGTTCTTATAAACTTTCTAGGGATATCACATATTTGATTCAAAAAAGAGATGTCAAACGATTCCAAAATTAATACGGTTTTTCAGTGGACAAACTATCCGAGTTTGTGCGTACTATAATATTGCTCGGTTTTCGACGCTTGTGATCACACTGCCGTGCACGCTCTCGAATGGACTAAGTGCCCGGCAGTCGGCAATTTCCGCCAAATTAAATGGCACTGAAAAAGTTATACAAACCCATTGATTATATTCGAAGTTTGTTTAGAAATGTTGATTTTTCTGTGGTCAAGATTAAACGTATCATTCTAAAACACATTTCATTTTAACTAGTTGAACCATCAATATTAAAGGTGCAGTATTCACAATAAAAAAAACATTGATTTCTGGAATCGCTTGACATTTCTAAACAAACATCTGATACTCTTTGGAAGTTTCAAGGAACCTTTCAGTGGCATTTGTAAGTAAATTTCTAACTGCCGGGAATTTAGTCCATTCGAGACCATACCAGACAGTCTGATCAGAAGCGTGATATATGTGTCGACAACCCGAGCGGTATAGTCTGTTCAAGCTCGGAGAGTTTGGCCACTGAAAAACCATCTTAAATTTTTGGAATCGCTTGACATTTCTAAACAAACATCTGATATTCTTATAAAGTTTGAGAAAACCTTTCGCTGGAAAATCTGTGAAAATCTCTGACTGCCGGGAATTTAGACGATTTAAGATCGTGCCCGGCTGTCGGGCATGCTGCTGGGCATTTAGTCATAGCGAATGATCACAGTGGATTTGTAAAATTATCCTCATCAGCACAAGTCTCCCCATCTTCTCCACGTTTGTGCACGATCGGAGTGCGTCCTAGCGCACCTTCAAGTGCATGTTCCAACTTCAGCGCTATTTAGTTATTTAGTCTTAACAGAAGCTTTTGACATGCTCCTTCTGATTACAAGTTCTAACCTAATAGCATTAAACATATGATTTAAGCGAAAAAAGAAACAAAAGCCGTAATGATTGTGAAACACCCACCTCATTGGCCATGATCCGTCCCTCGTGTGAGGCCTCTAGAGGCTCCAGAAAATTCTCAGCAGAACGATTCCTGACACTGACTTCTTTATCAACTATTCTCGCTGAACAAGATTTCTTCTCGGATTCTTCGTCACCTGAGATGTTTTCGTTCATTTTATAACCGATATCTTCACTCGAACCATTCGATAAACTAGAAAAATCCATTCTCTTTCACAGTGGCCTCAATTAGAACCGAGCTCTTGTTGCGAAACAAATATTTGATTTGTTTATGACTAGTTGCATGGTAACGTGTCTGTTCCGTCGCCTTTTGACTTCACGCCGTAGTTGAGCGTTACGCTTTGGCAGTAGAACCTTATTGAAGCGTCGAAAGTAGATTAGAAATGAAAACTATTTGACAATGTTAAGTCGTGCGAAAAAAATTTTGTTTACAGTTCATTAATTGCTATCCACGATGATAAAAAAAGAAGGCTTTTCTTAAATACAGATCATGGAGTTTAACAAATTTTCAGTCGGTTCTAATAACCTTTCACTGCTTCCCTTGGCCAAGATTGTTGCTGTTAAGTGAGAGAACTCCCTCTCGCCATGTCATTAAGTCCGAAGAATGTTAAAGCTGTCTTGCCTATGACCGGACTGTGTTCTTATGACTTGCTATTCAAGCTTTACGTTTCCCCTATTCTAATGGCTAAATCAAATAACCGACGCCCTCTTGTTGCGTTCTGAAACATACCAAGAGCCTTTTTAATTTCAATTTCAGATACAAGATGAATATTAACTCATTCAAAATTTTTTATCACCTCATAACGGTCTGAAATTACATATAAATGACAACATGGCCGAAAGTCGTATTACAGCAGTTGTACTGTAATTGAAACCTCGCCATGCCAAATGCACAGTGGAGATGTTTTGTATCACTTTGACGCAGTGGCATTAGATGTTTAGAGGTATGCTAGCGAACAAGATTTGGTGTTCATTTGCTTTGGCTAAATTTAACGTCGCTTTCCTGACCAAGAGCACGTGGGTATTCAACGACGAAGAAGTGCACAAATAAACTCGTTAAGGCCTTTTCTAACAGGTATTTAACGACTTATCCTGTTTCCATTCTGTCATATGTTTAAATTACGCTTTCAAATGTTTATAAAAAAGATATTCTTCGTGGGAAATTTTGCTCGTCTCATATGGATACTGCACGCATATTAGACTAATTTGAATGAGGCGGTACTTTACATATTGTAGCTTTTAGCAGAGGGTGGTTAAGAAAGGAAACAATTTCAGTTTGTCCATTATAGATCTGATTGTCATAGGTAACACAACCAATAGTATTTTAAACTTTTCTCCCTTTAAATTTGAAAATCATGCAAGGTTTTTAGGGTAAATTTACCCTTTATAGTCTAACCTCCAGGAGGGATGTTTAGAGATTGGAGTATTTTGTATTTTACCTAGTTTTTTGTGAAAGAATGATGATTAGACTGAAGTTTTACACATGGGTGTTAATCCACGCAGAGACTGTTGACTGAGAAAGATTTGCTAACGGACGTAAAAGTATAGATTCTAGCAAAACACTTGAGTAGATATCAAAAAAGTATAGATTCCATCAAAACACTGAAGTAGATTTACGAAACAGAAATTTTCCTTACCTAGTGCCCCAGCACATCCCGGAATAAAGCTTTCATGAAGGTTTACACTTTGGCTTAAGGCAGCCTACATAATACCAAAAGCACCCTACATAATACCAAAACAAAAATCATTCAAGTAGTAGACTAACCGCACTTTTCTATCAGCTTACTGGCGAAATGACTTCTTTAGGATGTTAAGAGAATATGACATCCGCGAGTTGATAAAAAGTGTCGTCTTTTAAATTTACAAACATGGCCATAGGTAGATTCAACGACAGGTTTTTGAATAGTTGGAGCGAGGACAATGCCTCAATTATATTTTAATACCTTATCATTACCACCCTAAACCACCCCTATCATTTCAGCGTGAAGTTATCCTCCCCTTCTACGCACGAGAATGGTAGTTTAGGTTTTGGTAACAGATAAAATTTTTACAGTTAAATTTTCGAGTGAATCGAATAGAGACAATGGTGTCATGTCTCAGGTTAGGTCCTGAAATTTGCTAACCATGGTGAATATAACACTGAGGGAAAAGCGCAAATTTGTACAGGTAGCGGTTGAAAGGTAACCTGTATCAAATCATTACCGTATTTTCCCTCGTAGACAAAGGAAAATATAGATGAAATTTGATCACCTGACTGGTCACTTGGACAGACAGACACTAAAAGATAATCTCCCTCGAAGCTCAGGTAATAAGTAATATCTTGGAAAAACAAATGGAAGTTGCAAATATAAATGTTTTTTTCTCTAACCAAGAGAATAATCGTACCATTATTTCCTCATGCCCTAACTAAATAAAGGAAACTGTTCTGTAACCATGTCAGCCTAGTTTAACAGACTGATAAAAGATGAAATAAAGTTCTGAACCTCTCATTTCCATTAGTTACCATCCTAGGGGCAGGGAGGAAGGTCAGGCCTATTTGATACTGGAACATGTGTGAACATAGTTCATCCGAAAGGGGGAAAGGTTTTCAAGTTTTCGGTATGCATTGGTGAACATCCTTGATGCCATCTTCGTGAAAGTATTAGTAAACCTTTATTTAACTAGGGTAATCCCTTCAGAAT